ATAAAGTGATATATTTGTAAGCAGCTGGTTGCTGTCAAACTAGAATCTGGATATAAGACAAATTCTTTCCCAAAGACTGACTCACCAAATTCTTTGATCTGGTCCAAACACTGGAACTGATATTCACAGTTATAAAAGTGAATTCTTGATACCCCAGTCAAATCTGTTTTTCCTCTAGCCTTTCTCACCTCCATAAAAGTCACTCTGATTTAGCCTGGTCCTCATTTCTATAAACACCCCTTCATTTCATAGTCAATCCATTACCAAGTCTCAAGTCTGTCTAGTAATCTCAAACCACCCCTGTCACCCTAGTTCATGAAACTGCGTCTTCATATCAACTGGGGAGCTAGCTGCAAGAACCTCCCTGCTACTCTCCCACTTCCACTCTCACCCCTTCTTCCTTTCTCCACATAGTAGCTAGAATTATCTCTAATTGCAAGGCCTGGCACAGAGGTGATGCAGCTGGACTCACATGGGAGAGGTCCTGGGTTTGTGTCCCAGGATCACCCTGAGCATGCCAGGCTCCTGTTTGCCCGAGATCAAGGCCAACTAAGATGAAGCACAGACCACATCATGATTATTGCATGCTGCACACATGATTTGAAAAATCCTTATTTTGCCCCCACCAATATGTACAATAATTAAATGTAAATAAATTATAAAATAAAACGGAAAAAATGACTAGTGCCTCTGAAATGAAAATTCTGCATTCTCTCCTCTCTCTCTCTCTCTCTCCCTCCCTCTCTCTCTCTCTCTCTCTCCAACACACACAGAAGAAATAAATAACTTTTGGGGTCAGTAGGCGATGTGGTGTTTAAAGTGCTGGACTCCCACATGGTTGACCATGGTTTGAGTCCCAGACCTGGCAGCTTGAAACACACCAGGCACAATTTTGAGAGGAGAATGGAGAAGAAGGGATTGCTGCATGGCCATTCCCCACAGAGGGTGATTTCTTACTTTCTCTCTCTCTCTCTCTGTCTCTCTGGCAAGAGTATATACCCCTGTAGGAAAAAAATGAAAACAACTTTTTAAAAATAAAGATAAAAAAAAATGCAAATCAAAATTATGTCTCTCAGAGGAGTCCCTTTGCTCCTGAGAGAGAACCCACACTGTAACATGTCCTGTGCTAAGTCTTACATGTTATCCTCACACCTCAATTCCCTGCTTGCTTTGCTCTGTAGGGACACTTCCTTTGATTCCATAAATATGCCCACTAGTTTCCCACTTGTGGGTTTTTAGCAAATGCTGTGCCCTTTTCCTAGAACACTTCTGTCCCTAGTCTTCACCTGACTAACTCCTACCCTTTGTAGGTCTCAGATTAGATACCCAGCTTTTCCTGGCCATCAGTCTAAACTATGGTAATCTCCTTCAGTATATCTGCTTCTCCTTGGCACCTACAGCCATTTGAATGTGCACTCTTTATCGTGTATCCCTCTTAAAGGTCAGTGTCTCCCAGTACACTGTAATACACTGCAATATCCATAGCGCAGACACCAGGTATGTCACACAGGTCAACCTGTGTCCCCATCCCCTGGCACAATGTCTAATACTTAGTATACTCAATAGCTATTTGTTGAATGTAGGAAGGAATAGATGAGCAGAAATTAAGGCTTATGAATATTTTTACTATGCAGAATTTTCATTTCAAAGGCACTAGTCATTTTTTTCTATTACTATGCAGAATTTTCATTTCAAAGGCACAAGTCATTTTTTCCTAATTATTTTATAATTTTATTTACATTTAATTATTGTACATATTTGTGGGGGTAAAATAAGGATTTTTTTTCAAAGCATATATGCAGCATGCAATAATCAAAAAATATTGAATACTTCCCTAATTTGTGTGTCCCTTTGAACAAGGGCCATGCTAATCTTCTCTGTAGCATTCCAATTGTAGTGTATGTTCCACCAAAGCAAGCACAAGGTATTGGTATTTAATTCCATCGTTTTTTCAGATTAGCAGAACACAGAGAAATATTATATCATTGAGTTGAACAGACTTGTATTCACATACTGCTTGTGCCATTTAGTAGTATCAGCTCTGGCTGAGAAGAGACCACACAAGACCCGAGTACTGGGAGGTATGGATCCTGGCAGGCCACTGAGTGGCTATCTACCCTAGCCAAGAAACTCACATTTTTCACTTCTCTCCCTACATGTTACCCGTAAAGTCTCACCACTATGTGTGATATTGGCAGTTGCTAATTGTGACATTTGTTTTGTTTTGATTTTACTTTTCAGTACTAGGCTCTTGATTCACCGCTTCTAATAGAACAAAATGCATGCCTTTTGTATATTTTCGAAGATGTGTCTGAATCAACATTATTTACTTCAGATAATGGTTTCTTGTTTACTTTGCTTTATCTCACTCTCGGCATGCCACCATATTTGTTTATGTTAGAACATGATGACTAGAGCAAATCCATCATTTGATGATGGTGATGATGGGATTGCTCCTCTCAGATCATTGTTATTGTAACAGGCATATGTATTTGTAATTTTTAATAAGAAAGCATTGAAAGGATGTCATAATATCATAAAATAAATTATTTAAAACTATAATTTTAAAAACCCATAGAGAAGGAACCGGCAGATGGCACAATGGTTACATCACTGGACTCCCATGTAGTGGACTGCGGTCAAGTCCCAGACCTGGCAGCTTAAAATTCACACTGGGCATGTGTGTATGCATGCCCAAGATACCAAGACAAGAATGGAGAAGAAGGGATTGTGGTGTGGCCATTCCTCCCCAGGGGTTGATTTTTTGCTTTCTGTCTCTGTGTCTCTCTCTGTATCTCTGGCCAGTACACACATCCTATAGCAAAAAGTCTCTCTTATAAAAAAAAATCCTATAGGGAAGAAGGGCATATGGCGAAGGTGACAGGGATGGAAGCTAACTTTGAAAATATTTTGTATAATTATAAAACAATTAACAATTTAAAAGTAATCCACTTTAAAATGAAATAATGGGTCACTAGAAAAGTCAGGATATATATTTCTATGTCCTTCCCTGCAAAAATGTGTCAAGACTTTTCCAACAACCCAACAGAGCAAATGAACCTAACAGTGTGTCCAATTGGTAGTATAACCACACAGTAAAGAATCCTTTCTAGTGACTTCGAAACAGAGGAATTTGGCTCAGCTGTGTGGAGCAGGCAGTAGGACACAGCTGAGCAGTGCTGCAACTGTATGGGAAGGTCTGGAGTTCAAATCCTAGCTTACTGTAAGGTGGGGGAGGCGTTTCAGTGTGGTAAAACCCTTCCAGGTACCTGTGTTTGTCTGTCTGTCTGTCTCTCCTTCACTCTCTCTTTCTCTTGAGAACTGAATAAATAACCAAACTTTAAAATAGAGCAGAATTTCCCAGTGGTTAACTGGAAACAGCTAGCACAGTGATTCTCATGAGCTGATTTTATGCATCTCTTTCCAACTCTGCATGTAGTGACGTCAAGTTGGTAGCTTAAAAGGAAAGGTATTTACATCATGAAAACCAACAAATGCTATGATCATATTCATGTTGTCTTAAGAATACTGATTGTTGGGGACCAGTAGGTGGCATGGTGGTTAAGGTGCTGGACACTCCCACATGGCCAACCATGATTCAAGTCCCGGACCTGGTAGCTTGCGTTCTCACTCTCTTTCTCTCTCTCTATTTCTCTCTGTGTCTCTCTGGTCAAATTAAAATAAATGAATGAATAAATAATTCATTCTTTTTTAAAAAAGAATACTGATTGTTAAATATCTTACCATTGAATTTAATTGCACATACCTAAAGACAAAATAATTACAAAACAAGTGACCACAAATTAACTCCAGTAATCAGTGTTGATAGCAGTGTTGGAATTTTTACTCTGAGATTATTTTGTGCATAGTACGGAATAAACAGTGAGTGATTTGAGCCAATAGTTTAATACTACAGCACAATGGTTAAATACTGTGTGTAGGGAGCCAAATCTTACATGGCCAAGCACAATTTGAATCCCAGCCCTGCTGGTTTGAAAAGCAGGATGGCTGCAGGTGTATGCCTGCCCAAAATCCTGATGGGAAGGAGCAGTCGAGGAAAGGGTATGCACTGTGACCATGCTTTAGTGGAGAATGCTTTCTCTCTCCCCCTAACCCTGTCTCTGGTGAGAATGCAAACCTTCTGGCAATTCATTGATTAAGTGCTATTAAAATAGTGCTAATTATGTGCTATTGTTAAGAGCTGAATTTTGGAGAGGAAGAGGAAGAAGATACCAAGTACGAGGAGAATTAGTAGAAGCTCTGAGATGGACTTTCATGGGAAATAACAATATGAACACACGATGGGGTTTTACCTTCCTGAACAGTCATGAGGATTTAATACACAAAATCCAAACTGCGAGAATTCTAGGACAAACTACACCATTTCTTCAATAAAAACAAAAACAACAAATCAGAAAAAAAACAACAAAAGAGAATGGAAGAAGGTATCTTTTGATCAAAAGAGACCTAAAAGCTATCTAACCAATCTCATTGTATGGATTTTGGAGGACGTTAATTCATTTAAGAGAAAAGGTCAGAGAGAGGAGTAGAAAGCATGTGAGAAAAGAGCATTCCAAGAAAAGTTAAAAAAAAAAAAACATGAAAACTAACTGGATATCTGATGTTATTACAGAATTACTATTGATTTTTTCGAGGTGTGATTATTGTGTATTATTACATATATATATAGTGGTTATTTTAATAGCATAATTTCTGTCTTCTGGAAATCCTTCCTGAAATATTTAGATATAAAATTATATTAATAGTATAACATGTCTAGGATTTGCTTCAAAACAATCAGGAGTAGGAGGAATAAGAGGAGTGACAGATAAATAAAATTAGTCATAAATTAATCACTGTTGAAATTCAGGCGTAGGTCCATGAGAGGTCAATATATTATTTTCCTGCTTTTGTATAGGTTGGACTTTGTTTAACAAAATTTTTGTAAAAATTAAGGTTCCTATGCCCCAGGCCAGTTAGGTGGCGTAGTGGTTAAGGTGCTGAACACCCACAAGGCTGACCACGGTTCAAGTCCTGGACCTGACAGCTTACTTTTTCACTTTCCCTATCTCTCGCTATCTCTTTCTCTCTCTCTCTCTGGTAAAATTAAAAATAAAAAAAATAATAACAACAAATAAAATTAAATAAATATTTTTAAAAAGTTCTTACACCCCATACACAATCTCCAGATTGTACTTTGCCCCAATTCCTTTAAAAATATAGGCATATTTTTCATTGAGTTTAGTACCTGTGGGTGGCCTTTTACGATCGTCTTTGTCTATAAAAGATTATTTAGTAAGTAGCCCATGTGCAGGCCACAACTTAACAAAATCTACATATCACCAAAGCATAAACATAAAAGCATATTGAGTTAGTTAGGAAAAAAGAAATCAACTTAACAGAGTCATTTTATGGACCAAAAGACCTTGGCAGCTCTTAATGAAATGCTTAATTAGGAACCACAACACTTCCCAAACAATAAGCAATCAGAACTTAAAAAGTCCCAAGCCTTTAAAAGAGTTATTGCTGCTGTATAATATTATTATATAGGTCCACACGGAAAGGTTCTTAAAAACATCTGGCACCCAAGTACATCTGCTCCAGGTGACCAAACAAAGCCTCCCAAAAGCCGCAGAACAGACAAAAAGAGTTGATTGAGCAGAGGAGTGCTTTTATGAATAGCCCATTAGGAGGAGGGATAGACAGCCCTTCGAGACACTGCACGTTTCTCAAGAGAAGGAAACCACATGGACGTACAATGAGGCATCAGCCAAAACCATCTTCATTTGCTTTGGGTGCAAACTATCCTTTCCCAATTCAGACAGACAGCAAATATTTAACGAGAGAAAAAAGAGAAGCAGGTGCAGTATTTGAGCCACGGATAACAACTCCTTGCACCATTTTGAGTCATCAAATGGGACATTTAGGTCAGTGACCCCTCGACACAGACTTTTGATCTTTATTTTAAAAAAAAAAAAAAAGGAAGCATTTTAAGAGGGGATCCATCGCTGGCCCCTGGCCCCAGAGTTCCAACCAAATAAAAACACACTAAGGCAAGTCAGTGGTGAAAAACCTCAGCCACCAGCCAAGGAAAGTAACAGAAGTAAACCCTGAAAAGTGTCCTGAAGCCCGACTTCAGGTGTGATCAACAAGTTGACTTTTGGAGCTCCTCGTTGGTGCCCTTAAAGCTTAAAGTCACTTAAGGAGCACAGGGTTCTGGGTGGCTCTAAGCCAATGTTGTCGAAATTGTGTCTATCAGGTCACCTGCGCTAGTACCACTTTGAGGTGTTGCTAAATGCAGACCTCCTAAATTAGAATGGCGAATGTGACTAGGAAATCTGCATTTTTAACAAGCTGCCAGCTGCTATTTGCACCCACTCAAATTTGAGGACCACTGTACCAGGACCAAGGAGTGAATGTTATCACAGATCTTGGAATGCCCAACAGCAGAAACAAATGCTTACTATATTTTTGAAATCATTTCCTAATTACATCTTTTTTTTTTTTTCAGTTGAGATTGTTTTCTATAGGGTGCATGAGCTTGCCAGAGAAACAGAAAGATAGAAAGCAAGAACTCACCACCAGGGGGTTGTCGGGGAGAAATGGCCATGCTGCAATCCCTTCTCTTCCATTCTCCTCTCAGGATTTTGCGCATGCATGTACACACACCCAGCATGAGTTTCAAGCCACCGGGTCTGGGACTCAAACTACGGTGGACCACGTGGGAGTCCAGTGCCTTAATCACTACGTGATCTATTGGCCCAACATCTTTTTTTTAAGGTTTTGCCACAGGATGAGTGCACTCGCCAGAGAGAGACAGTGTGAAAGAAAGAAATCGCCTCCCATGAAGGAGGGCCAGGCCACTTCTCTTTATTCTCCCGAGACTTTGGGCATGCATACACATATGTCCAGCATAATTCT